GCCGCCGCCTGGCTTAGCACAGTTGCTTTTAACTGACTTGTTAGTATGTAAATGGGGAGAGACAAAGAATACAGCCCAGGAATGATGTAAAGATGGAATATATAATGGGCTTCATGTGTTTCCCACATAACCTGACTGCAGCAAACGGTCCAACAAACATTAGCTATGGCAACTATCTGCAAACTCATATAAAGTTCTGGTTCTATTTTTACATTGTTGGGGATCAAACGCAGGGCCTTATATGTCCTAGGTAAGCACTCTACCATTGAACTACATCCCCAACCTCAAACTTCTGATTTAAAAGCCAGGCATGGAAGTGTATGATGGTCATTTTAGCATTAGGGAGGCTGAGGAAGGCCACGCTCAGCTCTTTTTTTTTAGTTTTTTTTTTAGCCTTTTTGAGATGGAGTTTCTCTGTGTATCCTTGGCTGTCCTGGAACTCATTCTGTAGATCAGGCTTGCCACCAATTTAGAGATCCCCCTGCCTCTGCCTCTGAGATTAAAGGTGTGTGTGACACACACACACACACACACACACACACACACATACACATTTTGAGACAGGGTTTCACTATGTGGCCTTTGATGACCTGGAACTTGCATGTGGACCAAGCTGGCTTACTTTTATGTATACCTGCCCCTGCCTCCCAAGTGCTGGCATTAAAGGTGTACCACCTTTACCCAGTGGTAATGAATGTGTAAACTGTTGCAGTATAATAAAAACTGAGTCAGAAATTGAGATAAAGACCCATAAATCCAAGGACAGTGAAGAGTCGTGTTTCCTGAACCACCAGCCCCTGAAATCCCCAGAAACCCTCTCTTCTGTCTTCCTGTCCTCTCTAGCAGACCTCCTCAGCCTTCCAAGAACTCCATGACTAATCCCAGTCAGCCAGTCGCTGACTCCGTCCTTTGATTCAAGGTTGCTTTACTGACACAGTGGAATGGCTATACGAACATTACTCCCTCAAATTTCCCCCTTTTTGTCTAAATAAAAGGGAAAAGTTTTAGCTCTAACACAGTAAAACTATATTCAATAAGAACAATTATCAAGTAAATATATTCATAATATCCAGTCCATTTGTATTTGGCAAATTCAGAGAAAATACTCTATCTTATCTTGGTGAGTCCAAAGTTTGTACCTGATTTACTTTCTATCATAACTAAGGAAAACTGCAACTATAACTATCTACTCTTCAATCCCATCAGAGACCCGAGAAGGATATAATATTACCTGAGTAAACAGGAAGTGAAGAGCAAGCAACTTCCAAAACTAAGAAACATCAGAGACATCTGGCTGTCTTGACAGTCACCCCAGGGTTCCTTTACAGCATTGAAGCATCTATCTTCTGTGAAGCAGGAATTTTTAAAGGACTGTCCTACCTTCTCTTGGCAAAGTTTGGCATGTGCCGCCTTTTGTGTCCTGCTTGTCCAATTTGGACAGCATACTGGCAGCAGTCCAAGGCAAAGACAGTTTCTTTCTATAAGTTTGATTGTTATAGGTGACTAGCTACTAACCTATATTATTCAAAATAGCTTTCACGGACTAGAACTTTACATTTTAAATGAGCTGCATAGGTACAATACCTTAAACAAGAAATAGAAACATAGTGCAGTATAACAAAAATAACCTTAAGTTTATATCCATATACAAAAATACCTTAAGCAAGAGTAGAAACATATATACAGTATAACAAAAAGCACCCTAAATTTGTCTCAGTATACAAAAATCCATACCAATGTCAAATATTTGACACTAGTAGTTTTTTTAGTTTGAAAGTAGATTCAATAATCTACCTGTTTTTACTATAATTTCTATATCCACCCCTTTTTCTTTTCAGAACCAGATCCCTGAATCTAATCTCCTTTGTTTAGTTTCCTCCCTAACCATGACCAATAACAGCTTCTGACCAACCCCTCCCCCCAAACGATGACAACATCCATTGAATGGCCAAAAATCACCCACCTCACCTCTTGGGAATGTGGGCGTCATGTTCTTAAAATTACTTCTTGCTGTCTAGAAGTGACAGCATCTTTGGGGGACCCTGAAAAAAAAAATGAGATAAAGATCAAGTCCCAGGAGAGCTAGCTGTTAACCAGTCTCGGTGTCATGGGAAAGTATGAGGCTTATCTGAAGTCCTGACTTGAGTAGTCTACAAGGCTGGACTGTCTTAGCTAACTGCTTTGAAGTTGTCCTGAGCAGTTTGCAGTCTCTAGCTGATCTATGGGTGGTGGTTGTCAGTTTAGTTGGTGTTACCACAATCCAGGTGGAGTCATCATTGTGGTGCCCCAACATCCTTTTGGAGACTTCAAAGGTCGCTGTTAGAAATGGTAATGGCTGCAACCCACAGATCCAGGGAGGCTGCCTAGCAGCGGGAACCCTA